AGACATGGTAATGCAGACACGTAAGATTAGAGGCAAAAGGCAGGAGGCTGGTAAGGACAGGAAAGTGGAATGAACCAAACAGGGAAGGGACATGAATGAAGCAGGCCTGGTGGGATGCAATAGAGAGTAGTGTGGACTATGGCTAAAGGGAGCAGCTGCTCAGCTCAAGTCAATAGCTGCTTTATGAGAATCTGGGACTCCGCTTTCTGACTCTAATTTAAAGAAGGCAGGAACCCAGATTTTATATAAAACCTTATCATTTAAAAATATTGGCAACAAATTCAATTTAAAAATAAAAACTTGAGAAATGCAGAAGTTGTCTGTAGGGTGGATATAGATTGCAACATGACATTTCGAGACTTCTATTACAGATCTTTTATTAGAAACAAGATATCAAGCCAAGTACGATGCCAATATATTGTGCTATTTCTTCTTCTAAAATGAGTGTATGAGGATGGAGTGTCACACAAAAAAAATAATCAGGGGTTACACTTCAGGAATCAACTCAGTGATGGGCTCGCTGTCCTAGCCAGTGTATCCAGAAACAGTGGCATTAGGAGGATGCTGGTGGCTTTCAGAAGAAGATGGATCCTCTCACCAAGTCTGAGGTGTCTCATCCCAGACTTAGAACTTGGCCAGATGTGGTCTATTGTACTTGGAATATTCAGTGTGGCCAGCGGCCTTGCCTTCTTGATTGCTCTCCTGTCTACCACATTCCAACCACAATGGCCTCCAGCTGCTTCCCCCAACAAACCAAACCCAGCTTGTCACCACTTTGCAGCTTTGGCCTTTGCAGTGTTCTCTCCTTCTGGCTTTTTCAGTGTCAGCTTCAACATTACCTCTTAGGATAATTTTACTCTGACCACTGAGGGTAAAACAGGTCTCCACATCCATTCAAGCTATTTCATGTTTTTTCAAATCAATTATCCTTATGTGACACTATTCATTTATTCACTTACCTATTTACTCTTAACCCACTAGAATGAAAGTTTAAATAACATGAGGGCAAGGTCTTCATCTTTCTTTTCCACAACTGAATCCCCAGCATGGGGAATCATACCTGCTGTCCAGTAAGTGCCCAATAAATGTATTGATTATAAACACTAGCAACAATAAATACATACAGAGCTTGTCATGTGCTAAGCACTGCTCTAATTGCTTTACAACCTTTACCCATTTACTCATCTCTGCAACCCTGTGACAGGTACTATTATTATCTTCATTTTAAAGATGAGAAAACTGAGGCACAGAGAGGTTAAGGTTACATAGCCAGTAAACAGCAGTTCTGGAATCCAGACCTAAGCCATCTGGCTCTTGAGTCCATGTCCGGTATTCACTTTCCAGGGTCCTAGTGGAGCTTAAATTGGGGCTAGGGTTGGGAGAAAGTGATAGTTGGGTGAAAACGAAATCTGAATACTCATAAGTGAGTTTGATCCCTAAAAACAGAGAGGGTTCCTTTCATCTAGTGTGACTGTGTGCATCAAGATGGTATCATTCTGAAAAATACATTTCTAAGTTGTGATCTTCTTAGAGACATATATCCAAAAGCCTAATTATTCCCTCTCATCCTGTGTTTCTGCAGTTGATTTGCGAGATAAAGCCACAGGGCCATGTCTGTAACATTCTGATCTGTTCCAGGAATGCCTGTGATGAATCAAAATATTATTCTTTTAACAAATGAAGCAGTAAGCAGCAGGAGTTGGGTTACGAAGGACAATATTCAGAGAATGTTTAGACACATGATTAAAATGACAATTTGGGGAGGAGTGCTAGAAAAAGGAGACTGTCGACACCTGAAGAGCTTTGTGTGTGTTGTGAAGTTGCTTATGAGTGAATGCCTGCAATGGAAGTTTACCTCTATCTCCTGCTGTTTGGAGGAGTCTCACTTTCTCAATTTATATTCCTGACAGCCCTTTTTGTTCCTTCTAGTTACTGCCTTGGCACTTGACTAATCTGCTTTTTCATACATTAGGGTTGGAGTAGAATGCAAAGAAATCACAGGTAACATTTTATCAAAACGTCTAGATCCAACTGGATTTGTGGACTCAGACCCTACTCAAGACCTCATTACGAAGTTTGTTCATCCTAGACAATGAAAATAAGACCTGGAATAATTTGATAGGCATTTTGATTAATGATTTGAAAAGTTATCATCAATGAGTTACTTAAATATGTCTTGCTTCAACACTTAAACCAAGGGTATTCACATTATTGTCCAAAAGATCCGATAGTGTAGCTAAAGTGCCTCGCACAGTTCTGGGCACTTAGTAAATGATGCTGCTGATGATAAATACAATGACAGTTACCAGATTTCTAACACCCTTTTATCCCAGGCTAGAATGCAGAAGACAAGCTGCTCTCACGCTATTGCATCCAAACATGCCTTACCACACTCTCCCAAACATTTTTGTTTGCATTTCAAAGGAGATGGGAGATGGCTTGTTTAAAATTTTCAAATCAATTCACTTTGAATTCTCATTTGAATTTCCAAGAACTGACTACCTACTAATGATATAGATGCTTGTGCTACTCAAATCCAGATGGGCCCCCACCTCCACCCCGTGGCTACCATATGCCCCTTTGTCTGTGTTGAGAAGAAGTTCTCTGGTGCTCAAATCGATTTTATTCCTTGGAACCAGGGCTGGTTTCATGGGTGTTCAGCCTATGTGGTTGCACAGGGTCTGTTCTCAGATGCATCTTTGTTGTTTTGTTTTGTTTTGTTTGATTTTTTGAGACAGGGTCTCACTCTGCCACCCAGGCTGGAGTTCAGTGGCTCTATATCATCTCACAGCAACCTCCACCTCTCAGGCTCAAGTGGTTCTCATGCCTCAGCCTCCCAAGAGCTGGGATTACAGTTGCGCACCACCACACCCAGCTAATTTTTAAAATATTTTTAGTAGAGACAGGGTTTCGTCATGTTGCTCAGACTGGTCTCAAACTCCTGGGCTCAAGTGATCTGCCCATCTCAGCTTTCTAAAGTGCTGGGATTACAAGTGTTAGCCACCGCGCCCAGCCCCAAGTCTCTTTTGTTTTAATACTCCGTTGTCACCATTTTGAAATTCTTAATAACCCATGAAAAGTGACCTTGCAAATTACGTAGCCAGTCCTGCTAGAAACATACTGAATATCTGATATGTAGAAACATAAACAATTTTATAAATTTGGAATTTAAAAAATGTTATCAGAGTATTTTGTAGTTCTGAAAAAAAAATTCTACTGTAAATAGTTTAACCAGCTCTTAGAATAGTCTTTCTGAGATCTCTGTAATTAGGATCAGAACTAAAATAAAAATTTCTAATGAGCTGAATTACCAAAATCCATTTGAAACTGGATTTGAAGAATATGAGACCTATGACTGAGAATACGGTGTTCTTAGGAATACATCTTACAGCTTCTATCATTCCTTCTGGCTTGCTCAAGGAGTTTGCCCAAACTGAGCCCAACATCACTGGCTGGTAGAAAGGTTAGCCTTGGTTTCAGCAGGCCATAAGAAAGATCATGAGCCCCAGGAAACCACGGGGGCCCTTTTCGAAGGACCATTTTATCTCCCTATTGGCTTGGAAAGCCATGGCATGGCATGAAGCCCAGTCAACCTTAATTCAGATGAATGTCATTTCACAATCACTTTTAAATCCAAAGTTCTGATTTTTAACTAAGATATGCTTGCAGCTGGACAATGTTCAGGCATACAGAATAACCCAAATTAGTCTTAAAAAGCTGTATGTTTTCTTTCCTCAAATAGAGGTCCTTCTGGGACTAGCATTATTTAATGAATAGATGAGACTGGTGCATAATTAGCATATCAGTTGTTTAGCATATTCAGGAGAATAACCTTCAGCACTTTAAGAAATATATGTGTGTAAAAACTCTGAGTTCTGTTTATGGTTTTAATGTGTTCAGAAAAGCTCTTTTTCATGGATTCTCCAAAGGTCAGTTGTTGTTCAGCCTATGTCTGCGTTTTCACAAACCGAGAATTTGAGAACTCCAAAATAAAAAGCTTTTCTATATAACAAATAAAGATGCTCAGTGGGAAGACTTCATAATACCCAGGCTATGACTCATTCTAAATGTCTCCTTCTGCCTTTTGCAGTGAAAGATGGCTCCATTAAGTTGGGACCTATTTTTTAATTGTTATTTGTTTTTTGGTCGCAAAAGTGAAAAAAAAAATGCCTGATTGCTAGATGTATGTCAAGTTATAAAAGAAACCAAAGTTGTGTTTGATCCCTCAGCCAGCCCACCCTCCTCTCTCTGCCACTAACTCCTCCCTGCAGCAGATACCCTGCCAGGCCTTGCCTCCATGCCTGGTTCTCTCCAAGGACTTCAGTCTCAGTGACAGGTCTGGTAGTCACCTTTGACCCACTGTTCTCTCCACCTCCTGCTGATGTTCAATCTCTACCCACAACAGCCAAGGCAATCCCCTTAAAACATGAACCTGATTATGTCACTCTCCAACCAAAATCCTTCAATGCCTTATTATTAAGAAAAAGTCCAAAACCATGAAAATCGGTTTCAAGGTCCTGCAGGTCTAACCTTGGCCATCCTCCTGCACCCTTGTCTCACCATGGCCCAGCCTCACAGGGTTTCTTTGCCTTCTTTGAGAGCCTCAGGTTCCTCCCTCCACCATCACCAGGTTTTGCATTTGCTCTCTTTCTTCTTCAGAGAATACTCTTCCCCCAAGATTTCCCCTCTTTATGGCTCAAATTTTAGCATAAAATGTACAACTTCCTCGGGGAATCTTTCTGGGATCCCCAAGACAAGGTCAAGTCCTCACCTATATTTCCTCCTAGCCTGCCTTGCCTTCCTTGCACTTGAGGAATTTATAATCAAACATTTACTTGTGTGATGGTTTTATAATGTGGGTCTCCCCTTCTAGAGTGTGAGCTTCCAGAAGTCTTGCTCTCCACTGTGGCCCCAGTGCAGCCCAGGGCCTCAAAGGTTGGAGGTGCTCCATTGGCACATCCTCCACCCTTGAGTGAGGAGGAGGGAACAGAATAACTCACCGCGCTCATGAGCGAGTCCAGGACACTGACGGCAAACGCTGTCCCGCAGGCAAAGGGCTGCGTGAGGTACAGTTCTGTATCGGGGTCATCATCATCGTCTTGGTCCAAAAACTGAACATTAGTATCATTCACTAGAAAAAGCATAAAATAAGAATTAGTTCTGAAGACCACACACAGGTAGTGAAGCCAGAGGGAGACCAGGCTACTGGTTTAGAAACACTGAAGTCATTGAGAAGGAAACAAAAGCATGGAAGAAGCTGTAGATGGATCTTTGGGTGAGGGGGCAGTGGGACTCAATGGACTGTTCCTGTGTCACTGTTTAAGTGTCTGAGACCTGGAGAGCAATGAGTTCAAGCAGGCTTGCTCCACGGCAGGCCGCTGGAGCACCAATAGACTGTGCTGGCCAGTCCTTTGGCATAGTTTTAGGATCATGACCTAAAAACACCTTCCAGTGCTTTTTGGTAATGAAGTCCTTTGAGAGATGGACATATTTCAATGATGAGCAGCCATGCTGGGATAGTCATTTTAGCCACAAAGAAAAGAAAGCAGCTTATTGGGAGTAAGGAGCGCTGGAAGGGGAGCACAGCAAGGCAGATAGCAAGGAATGCACCCGCAGGCCTATCCCACAGCCTACCCACTGGAATTGGCCTGGGTAGTTCCCCGGGGTCCCAGGCCCTAAATCTAGGTCCACACCCAACAGGCCCTGTTTAATACACAGGAAACCCCAGGTGGGACGAATGCCTGGCTGTCTCTTGCTGCTTGCTGACAAGGACTTGCTCTGAATTTTGAGTTGCATGGGGACGTCCCATGTTCTCCCTTTCCCCTCCTAAACAGCTCAATCTTTTATGTGCTTGCGTTCAAGCAGTTGCAGCATTGGATGCTGTATTTCATTTCCATCTGAGGATTCCTCAAGGACTCCTCCCGCACGCACGTGCAGACTGATTAGTTGTGTCACTCAGATGTCTTTAACTTATTAAAAATTAAATGACAAATTAATTTCCATTCCCATCTTGGCTTCGGAAATTATCAGTTTTGCAGAGCAAGTAATAGGAGAAAAGTCGGTGGGGTGATGGAAGAAAGGGGCACTCACAATTTCTGGAATAATTATTGTGCTTTTAGGAAGAGAACAGATGAGGTTTCCTTTCCCTGATTCCTTTCTAAATGTATCAACAGCTAATTCTGTTTTCTAGAGTTATTGTTTTAATTTTTTAAGCAACTTTCTTGGTGACTCTTCTTTAAAAAAAAAAAAAAAACTTTTGTTTATTGTACGAAGCAGAATAAATGATACTAGCATGAAAGGCTAGGCATGGAATTAGTATTTTTAAATGACACCATCTTGTTTCCCTAGAGAAGGATTCTAATGGGGGAAAAATCTTGGCTCTGTTCTTCCAAACTTGGTCACATTTGGGTCCCCATTGTTTCAGCAGCAATTGAATTGCAGGCTAGTGGTGAAAGTCCAAAATCCAGGCTCTGACAACTGGGCTTCAGTCCAGCCTGTGCTGCCAACTTCCTTGGGCAAAGTATTTCATCATTCTACACCTTAGTTTCTGTCACTGTAAAATGGGGGAGTTATAGCAACTCTCCCATGAGGCTATCAGGAGGCTCATACAAATGGGATTGTGCCCAGAAAGCCTGGTCCAGCATCTGGATCATGCCATGACTTGATAAATGCCAGCTGCTATCATGATCTCCCTTCTGACATTAAATACCTGTCTACCCATTACAGCATGAAAATGCCCAGCTTCCCTCTGCCTCTCTTGGAAACACTGAAGGTCTTGCTCAGGGGTCTTTCAAGAGGTAGCTTTTCTTCACCTCCCTTCACTTGTCCAAAGCGATGTTGAAAGTCACTGTTTAGTCTTTCTGATTTGTGAATCAGAAAATGTAAACCGGAGACCACATATGGAAGAATGTGGTTTTAGTTACTTGTAATAGCCACCAATAGTATGTGTGGCAATGCTCCAAAAAGCACAGCATCTGTTACCTCTTATCAGGAAGACGGGAAAGGGTTGGTACCAGATATGGAGGTGAAGTGACTCCAAGTAGTGGGAGGGGACTCCAGATTGTCAGTGAGCTAGGCATTTGGGGTCATGGGAAAAGCACTCCAAGAGACTAGCCAGGGTCCAGTGAATACCATGTATATTGTTCTGAAATACCCAGTCTCAGAAGGAGAGCAAGCAATGCTACCCAAGGCCTATTTCACAGAACAGTAATTATGTGGGTGCTAAGAGGTACTCACATAATCACCCCAAAGCATATGTGGTCAAACACAATTGGAATAGTCAGGTGAAACAGCTTTAACACAGTCCTTTCTTGTGAGACTCTGAGGAGCCTTTGCCATGCTGATATCAATTGAGAGTCTCCAAGTAGATGAAGAGTGGAATGTGCTACACAGCTTTGAAAGCCTGTGTGGCCTTGGTGCCCTCTGTGTCTCTTAAAATTCATTATACTGGCCTGGCATAAGGCAGAACACATCTCAGAACATGTAGATAAATAAGAAGTATTCGTGGGGGATGTGGGAGGTGAAGTGGTCTGAGGAGGGTGCTATAGCGGCTAGAGAAATAGGTTTCAAGGCAGAAGATAAGGGTGGTGCGAGCACCTCAAAGATTCTCTGAACACAAGGAAGAAATCTGGTGTAGGCCAAAGGCTTCTAGAGAGTCAATGATGCTAATCAAATACCAGAATTGTTGCCTTAGGTTTGGGGCACCAAGCTTTTCCTTTTCTCTTCTACTAATGACAAGATATCCTAGTTAGTCAGCAGCATGTGAATTTCAAATAGAAAATGAAATTCCTGGCAGTGAGGATTCTGAAATGCTGCTGTAGGTTTGTGAGATGGAGATGTTTGGATTAATTTTCCAACCAGAGGTGTGGACCACACAAGCCCTAGGTCTCTTGTGGCCCTCTAGTTCTGAGGAGAGGAATCCAGAAACCTAGGGCTTTTAAACAACTACACTAAACATGAAAAAACCACCCATCCTATGGTTGGAAACAGAAAATAGTGTGATACTCCCTGACCTGAGTGAATTTGTCCTGATAAATAGCTATACCTACAATAATGCGGTGTTGAGTGGTGGGCAATTTATTCCTTAGTTTCTAGACACCTTGCAAGCAAGATTACTGTGTCGAAAGTCTGCTCCCTTATTTTGAAATATATTTTTGGGCCAAGAAAATGGAAAATTCATTTCATTTGTGAGTCATGTGAAGGCAGGTGCTCCCACCTCTCTATCCACTCCTCTGCTGAGCAGCACTTTTGCTGTCTCTATTTAGAAGATCAATCCCCAGTTCTGAAACCAGCTGCTGATGGGTGCCCTTCATGGAGTTATTAACCAAGTCATGGGGAAGTGGGAAAGAGCCTGATAAATGCGGTCATGACTGGAGGCCTTTATCTTCCACCTGAGTCCATTGTGAATCTCCCAGGGAGGGTTCTGGGCTGGGAGTGGGGGCCAGAGTGCAAGGCTGCACCTGGGTGGCTGCTAACTTTATCCTCTGCACCCTTCTTGAAATCTGCCTTTAGTAAAAAAGGTACCCCGAGGGACCAGGGGTTTTTATGGCTTCAGAACCAGAGCTTCTGAGAAATGCCCTAGTAGGGGGGGGAGAAAAAGGCAAATAAAGTCAGAATAAAGAAAAATAAACAGCTGGAGGGAAGGTGCCATCTTAGGTTTCTTATCTTAAAATTTTGATATTCTCCTTTGACTTCCTCTGAGAGCTGTGAAGACATGTCACTCAAACTGACAGTGTATTGGAAGAGGAGTAGAAGGGAGAAGGCGGGAGAGCGGGGTGACAAAAAAAAAAGTGGGGAAAAAAGGCTCAGGCCAGAGAAAATGAATTAGAGCAAAGATGCTTTGGAAACAACTGCCAGGTCAGATGGGTATGATCAAAGGTTTACTGATGCTGTGTGGGGAAAAAAATCATTAAGAAAGGCCAGAACAAGACAGTCGATTCCAACCAGAGCCACAAATAAAACACATTCAAAGCAGTGCCATGGGGTAGCCTTTCTGTTACAGCCGGCGAAATAAAAACAAGCTGATGATAGTTGGAAACACCAACAACAGAACAAAAGGAGATACTGATGTGAAGGAAAACAGTGCTTCTTACCCAGTTCAGTTATCATTAGAATGTGCGTCCCACTGTTTTTTTCCTGATTGACTGATACCAAAGGCAACTTGCCCGGTTTAGCTAATTGGATACAGCATTTAAGGGTTGGGGAAAGGGAGTGGAGGAAAGTACAGAAAAAGAAGAGAGTGAGGGAATAACAGAGGAAACATTCTCAAGTAAAGGGACCCCGGACCACAGGTAGTTTGTATTTGTCTTGGGGGAAGAGGCCACTCTACAGTTTTGCACACTTAATAATGGTCATAGGGAGTGCCATGGCCAGGTTAGAAGTTAGATTCTATTGTCCGACCAACATGGCCCTCAAAACCCCATCATTTTGGGGGCCAGAATGGCATTTGCTGAAAATGGCTTTTGGCTGAGATATTCAACTATAATACGTTAAATGTGGAGTTATTACACATTAGCCCAGGGCTTCTACCTTGTTTCCAAAATGGGTTTGGCTTAGATCCGAGGCTTTGCATATCAGTGGAGGGCTCAGATTGTAGGAGCTGTCCAGACAGAATGCTCAAAAGAGGTTCTTACAGTAAAAATCACCAGAAAGAATCCATAAACTAAGCCTTTCCTCCTTTCCTCTCCATTCCCAATTGTATGCCCCAATTGCAAATCCATCATCTCATGCTCCTTTGCAAACAGTGACCAGCATGAAGGAAACTGTCTATTCATCTCAGAAGAAAGATAGATCAGTTTTCCCTTCCAGTAATCTGCCATATTTCTACCCATACCTTTCTCCCAGCTCCCTCAAAACAAACCCCATAGCAGCTACAAAGTTGAAAGGGCTAAGAAACAAACCAACCTCCTCATATCCTTTGTGGTTTGAAAGAGAGAACAAAAATCCCCCCCAAAGCTGACATTGACCCCTACCTAGTTCAGTGATGATGGGGATGTTGACCCCAGTTGTGATGGATGGTTGACGTAACATCCCGTGCACTGGGCTGTTATCTGGAGAGGATCTATCCATTCCTGGAGGTGTGAACCCTGGAGGGAAACAGAGGAGGAAGAAAAATCAGAGAAGTAGAAAATTTGGAAAGAGAGTACACTATATACACACAACCCAAAAATGTAGCTTATGCATTATTCACAGGTCAGCAATTAGTATTCCCAGGATAAACTCTGATGAGTTTTTTATTCTTTAGAAGGACAAGGTAGGAAACCATTATAATCGTAACTCACTTCATAGTTCTCTAAAAAGTCCGGACTCCACACCAATTATTTATTCTGCTCATAAATTTTGGCTCCCATCTCTTTCCAGGGACACAGGAGAATTATCCCCTGTTCCCCCTTGCAGTTAGATATGGCTATGTGACACATGAAATGCTCTGGCCCATGAAAAGTGAACAGAGCAATGCATATCACTGCTGGTTCAGGTATTGGATGGCCATCTCTCTCTTCCCAGGCCATGGCAACTGTGAGGACACAGGTTACCATGGAGATGAAAGCTAGACAGCATCACTGGACAGTTGTCCAGACCCACAAAGCATTCTGAGTGAGTGAAAAATAAAGCTGTGTTGCTTTAATCCTCTGAGATTTGTTTGTTTGTTTGTTTGTTTGTTGTTACCACAACATAACCTAACCTGGCCTGACTGTTACCGTAAACCAATCAATTTCTTATCCTCTTGCTGGCGAGTGACTTAGGCCTCAGTTTTCACAGAGTTCTGGCCAATGGGAGGTGTAAGGAAATCTTCCTGGGGCTTTCAGGAAGTGTTTCTTTGCTCTTAAAAAGAAACACATAGGAAGAGATTATCTTTTAATTTACTGAGCACTGTTTTATGTGCCTGTAGTGTCAGGAACTGAGGCACCAGCTAAGGGCATAACTAACTTAGTGATATTGGCTCAAGTGAATGACAGGAAAAGCTGTCCTGGAGTTCCTGGGGCAAGCAGCCTGGAGCCATCTCACCTCAGGATTTCTCCCTATGTGAGATTTTATACACATAAACACACACACACACACACACGTATTTATACATATACATACACACAATATAATACGATGTACATATTTTATCTGTTTAAGCTAAATGGAGAAGGAGTTTACTTGCACCTAAATCCTCCTGACTGATGTATATGCCACCTGCTTACGGCTGATCCCTTGAACTTCTGAGCGTGCCCAACACAGACCACATAAGGTATATGTGGACACGGGAAAATTGGAAAGCAGCCTGCTGGGTCTCCAATTTTGCAGTTTGGGCTTCTTTGGGTCTTAGGTCCAAGTCCCAAGTACATACCTGGATGAGGTTGGAACAACTGTAACTTTTAGTTTAGTGAGAGTGAGAAATATCCTGGCTAGGCAGAATGGCTGCCTCGTTAAGGTTTTGCATGGACACATATCAATATTAGAAATCCATTTACCTCCTGCATTCATCTGGTGAAAATTATTTTTTCTAATGAAGCATATGGCATCTCCACGCAAGTGGCAAGACCCAGTGCACTTACATTTAGATGACAGGCAAGCATTCACATTCACTTCGGTTTCTCATTTTTGCCCGCAGCAGAATGCTACATGGGCTTATCAATGAATTAGGGATGAATTTTAGGAACAAAGTCACTCGCTAAATTTCCAAGGACAAAACTCCAAATAGATTATTATGTGTCCAGATCCCTGACTCACTTTCCAGCAATGTGACAAGATTGTGTTGAGTCTGGCATTTTGGCTAGGTGTGAGTCAGGAATGAAATAAGGGAGCTCAATAATTGCCTATTGTTTTGGAGGTGCATAATGCATAAAATGCCAGAGAAATATAAAAGGGTTTTCTTACTTTCTGCTCTCCTGTGTATACATTTCTTATCACTGAGTGCCATACTTTCAAAAAGAAAAACAAAGTTTTACTTAATATCCATTCCCTGACTGCACTTAAATTGACTCTTTACATTGATATACTATGAAAAGGGTAAGTCATTTGATTGACATTGTAGTGTCCATCTTTTCAAACTTTGGAATATGTGTTTTTCAGCCAACCACATAACCAAAAACATGCATTTTTAAATGCTAGCTATTTTCTTCCTCTAGGATGGTGAAGGGGAAACTAAACTGTTTTCATCAGAAGTTTCATTCAAAGGCATGAAAAACTGGAAGTGACAGCTGTGCAGATTCAGTGGATGTGACGTTTTTGAATTTCTTCAACTTGACAAGTAAACACCTTAAATCGGTAATGCTAGATGCATAATACATGGCCTGTATTTTGACATCCATCATCAAATGCTGACTTGAGAAAATACGGGTTTGTACGTCAAGGAATAGCACCCATAAAGCAGGGAGAAATGCAGGTCACACGATATTAGGAAAACTGTATTTCATTACAGAACTCGCAACAAGCCACAGCATCCTTTTATTTCATCTTATTTAAAGATTCCATTTTCAGCTGTGAAAAGACTCAATTCCTTTGCATGAAACCTTCATTTAGAAATGACATGCTTGCTTCATAGGCTTCTTTCATTTTGCTTTCATATTCCATTTTCCCCTTCAGTCACCAGGCCTGGTTCCATTAGCATCTGCAACTGACAAACTATGGTGGGTGTCCAAAGACATCTCTCCGTTGAAGGCCTGACTCTCCCCCATGCGTGACTCCCCAGAAAAGTGTGCTTTTATTGGCAAGAAAACTTCATGCCTCTTTTTGCTTCCCTACTTTTCTAGTCACAAATTTTTAAAAGAAAAAGTCAACAACAACAGCAAAATTGGTTTCCTCTTTTTCCCTGGTATAGAGTTATGTTAAAAGTGAACACAATTTATTAGCATTGTTTCTTTCTTAGGGGTTCTGATATGGGAAGATGATAGTCAGAAATGGCAGGATGCCCCAGATTCCTTAAATGGCTTTGGAGAGAAGAGAAATTCAGGCACCTTCCATACAGGGATGAGGCAATTCAGCTTTTGATGCCACAGGATGGTGTCCACCCCATTCCTCATAGCTGCATTTGATAAAGGGGCAGGTCTAAACTGTGGCCCAGTCTCTGACCGTCTTGCTCCCCTTCTCATTATTGCTTGCAGCCATGGTTATATCGTGGGTAGCACCTGAAGTCTCTCTACATTAAACAACACCCTAGTTCTGCATGTGAAAGCACTGGCACGTGGAATATACTCCAGGGATCTACAGCTAGAGAACAGTGAAACTGGGAAACACTCCCTTCATTAGTTAAACTAACACTTGGGAAATTAATTTTAGAAACAACCATATATTTTGCCAGAAAAGATGACTAAGAATATCACCATCAGAGACGTGGAATGAGAAGTCCTCAATCAGGAAAAGACTGAAGTTTAAATCATCCACAGTCAAAGCTATCATCAGATGGGCTCCTGATTCTTTAGCTATGTCCCCATAGCACTTTGTTGATCATGGCCACGGGAGGCAAGTTTTGTGCTAAAAATGACTTCCATATGTTTGTTGGCCATTTGTATATAACATCACTAATGATCAGGAAAATGCATATCAAAACCACAATGTGATACCACCTTATTCCTGCAAGAATGGCCATAATCAAAATTTCAAGAAACAGTAGATGTTGGCATGGATGCAGTGAACAGGGAACACTTCTACACTGCTGGCGGCAATGTAAACTCCTACAGCCACTACGGAAAACTCAAAGAACTCAGTGTGGAGTGTGGAGATTCCTCAAAGAACTAAAAGTACATCTACCATTTGATCCAGCAATCCCACTACTGGTATCTACCCAGAGGAAAGGAAGTCATTATTCAAAAAAGATACTTGCACATGCATGTTTACAGCAGCACAATTCACGATTGCAAAATCATGGAACCAACCCAAATGCCCATTAATCAATGAGTGAATAAACTGTAACATGATATATATATATATATTGAATATATACATACAGTCATACAAAGGAATGAATTAACAACACCTGCAGTGACCTGGAAGAGATTGGAGACTATTATTCTAAGTGATGTAACTCGGGAATGGAAAAACAGACATTGTATGTTCTCACTGGTATGTGAGAACTAAGCTATGAAAATGCAAAGGCATAAGAATGATACAATGGACTTTGGGGTCTTAGGGGTTAAGAGTGGGAGGGGAACGAGGGATAAAAGACTACAAATGTGCAGTGTATACTGCTTGGGTGAAATGGTGCACCAAAATCTCACAAATCACCACTAAAAAACTTACTCATGCAACCAAACACCACCTGTACCCCAATACCCCAATAACTTATGGAAACAATAAAAATAAAATAATAACTTCCAAAGACCACCTGACCTCCTTACACTGAAGTTTTCTCCCCACTCCAATCTTCAGTGGCCAGTGTGGCAGGCTTTTGTTATCTATTTTATTCATTCAGCATGAGGCATAAATGCCTTGACCAACTTTATCTCATGACAAGTATTCTCATTCCATATACTGTATAAGAACTTTAGGTCAGAGACTGGATTTTCATTTCTTCGAACTTCCCAGATTATCTACAAAATGCCCAGCACATAGAAAAGAAATAGAATGAAATTGTTAACAGCATGGGCTGTAAAGTCAGGTGTCATGGATTCAAATTCTGGCACCTCCACTTATGAGCCATGGCACTATAAATGTTGTGCAGACTCTCTCCAAGTCTGCTTCTCCATCGATAAACCAGAAATACCTCCTACACAGGACAATTGTAAGGCTAAAATAAAATAAAATAAAATAATGTATTGAAAACATTTAGTACAATACCTGGTATGAAGCAAGTACTCAAAAATGCTGGCTGCCAATATTAATATTTTATTAGACATACATTAAGTATTGTGGATCACTTCCCCTTCCATATGGACAAAGAACTGAAGAAGTATTTAGTAGATTCTTAAAAAAGAATTTTTACACAGAGAAAATCCTAGAATATTAATGAGAAGGCAATGAGCATTGTGTGTGTGTGTGTGTGTGTGTGTGTGTATATATTCTATATACTGTATAAGAACTTTAGGAATATTGTGTGTGTATATATATATATATTCTATATACTGTATAAGAACTTTAGGAACACACAATATTCCTAAAGTTCTTATACAGTATATGTATACATATATACACACACACACAATATTCCTTATGTGATCATATGTGTATATGTGTATATACACACACACAATATTGTGTGTATATGTATATATATGTGATCATATGTGTGTATATATATACACACAGACACAATATTCCTTATGTGATTATAAGGAAAGAAGGACTATGGCTCAGACAAGATATACACAAGTAATGGCTGGAAAAGGGTTCCAGGACAATGTAAACCCAAGTGCATTAGAAAATAAGAAAGGCTCAATGGCATTGTTTTTATGAGACTCAAAGCAAAGGCAAGAATGCTCTAGATCTAAACTGGCTAATAATTGAGAATGAAGAAGAGAGAGGGAAGGCTGAAACAGAACCCCAAGAAAAAAATAGCCAACATTTATTGAGCGCTTACTATGTACTAAATGTTGCTCATGCAATAACTTTGGTTCTGAGAACCATTCTATTTATATACTACTATTTTTCAGAGGAGGAAACTGAAGCACAGAGAAGGTAACCTACTTGCACCAGGACATACATCTAGGAATTAGCAGATCTCAGAGCGGAACGCAGGTAAACAAGTCCCAGAGTCCCCTCTAAGCTGCCACGCCATATTGCTTCTTATGTGCCAGGTTGGGCTAAGGGTTTTTTCACAGGCCACCTTGTTTATTCCTCATAACAATCCCTGTGTGTTTAGGGATTGTTAATATTTGCATTTTGTAGAAGAGGAAAATAAGATTCGGAGCAGTGGCATAACTGGCTCAAGCATACCCAATTGGTAAGTGGCTCCGGGAGCCGCAGCCAGGCAGTCTGACCTCAGACTCCTGACACCTGCAGACTGTGCCGCATCCCTGACTTGGGTGCTGGCCTTCTCCTTCTAGGTATGGTCCCTGGCAGGCAAGTCTGAGGCCTGAGCCAGTCTTACTTTTTATTGTTTTCACTTTTAAACAATAGCAGATAACAACTGGGACCCATTGTAGTTATGCTTAACTTGCTGTGGTATGGCAGCATGCACAACTCAGTACATATAATAAATGCTTTATTACAGTACTTTTCCATGGGGGAAACACAAAGTACTTTCTAAATCTTCCCTAGTTAAATCCCCGAGCCTTTCCAGGGAGAGAGGGAGATGGAAATTCTTATCAATCATCTCCCCTAGAATAGATGGAGAAATGAAGGTAAGTGCTTCCCCCACCCCCATAGACTTAACATAAAGGAATTGGTTCAAATGGTGGGCCAAATTATCTTTTATTGTGTGCATATAAATGATGGTTAGAAATCCATATGCTACGTTAAACTAGGGAAATAAATTAGGCCGAGTCATCTAGGTTTGCTGAGACAGGTATTCAATATGAAGTTGTAAAAGGGAAAGATCACCTTTAAAAATGATCTATAAAGACATGTTAAAATCAAGAGAAACATCTCATATTACATCATCTATGAGATGAATTAAATTTCCTGTTAATGCCAGGGAAAAAAATCTCAAAGGCAAATGTCAGATGAAGTGCAGATCAATAAAAATATTTTGATAAGTAAATGCAACAATGCTATTTAACACATGATTGGCAACTGCTGAAACATAAATTATCCAAATTTCCCATTGCTGCTTATGGGAAAATTATGCAGATTAGAACTTGATTAGGCTTATATCATGAGACTCAATTTGGACTTTTAATCTATTAAGCTCCAATAAATGAGGCATCTGAATAGCTCCCCTGAGCAACTACGGTAATAGCCACAGCAGTCATTTCTGCAGTACGTGTTCCAACAAATGCTTCAGCAGCTGAAGTAAAGAAAATTCCATGTATAGAAGTACAATTGCTCTCTAACTTGTAGGGGAGGAAAGTCCATGCACACAGGGTTGATTTGGGAAATAGGTTTTCGGAAATGACTGCAAGAAAAATCTAGCCAAAGGAAAAACCTCAGTTAAACCTTGTAATATTTTTTCACAGTAGTTTTCAGTGGCTTCCCATGAAGCTAGAATCCAGAGTCAGGAAGGCCAGGCAGCTGACCATGTTTACTAAATTTAGAAAAAGATTATTTACCACAGCAGCAGCTTCTCCTGAAACTCCCCAAAGGCTACCCCAACAGGGTAGAGGTAGCCCTCAGCAAGGTGCTGGGAGGTCAATGTCAAGGAGGGAAGTGGGGAAATGCCCCTGCCAATTTGTGACTCCCCCGCACAAAGCCTAATGACAGTGCTTGGAAACTGTATAAACAGACAATTCTGTGACTCCTGAGCCACAACGTAAGGTGTCTTTTGCCTCTTCAGCAATCATTCTATGCTAGAGATACGAGAGCTTTCAAAATCCTCTCATCAATTCCTCCATTCTTCAAATGAAGAAACTGAGGCTTAAAGTGGAGAAGTTATTATATCCAAGGTCACAGAACCAGTTAGCAGCAGAACCATGATAGTTGATATCTGCTGTTTTCTGTTCCTTTTTAACCCCTTCCATGCATAAGAAACCAAATCCACAGTGTTTGTTGGGGGTGCAGGGAAGAAACTCTGCCCCCACCCTGGAAACAGGAGTGGCAGCGTGAAGCCAGGCATCCTGACTTCACAGGGCCACTGATGATCTTGCATAATCCGGGTCACATCATCGGTTTATAGATGGATCTGTCCCCCTCAATCTAGGGCCTGTCCATGTTCTCCCCAGGTCCTTATTTAAAAGATGGTAAAGGTGCTGTGGTTGCAGTCAGGAGCCTGCAGGTGTGGGGTTGCTGGTGAGCAGTTAGCCCACCTTGGGGTGCATGAAAACAGGGCAAATGAACCAAGAGGTGGAGAGAATGAGAGAGAGCTCTATCATTGTTCAACTTCCTGCACCCAAATGTGCCTAAAACCAGAGGCATCCCAGTTACATGTCTCTGTTTTTACTTAAGCCTTTTTGCACTGGATTTCACTTGCGCCAAAATGTCCTAGCTAGTACAACAACTGAGAAAAATCTCCATTCTCTTCATGGTGAAATGATGCATGCAGGCCTGATTTTCTACTGAAACCAATGACCACATCTTCATTTAAGGTTTCCTGCTTGTTTCCAGTGACCAGGGACAAGACCTGGCTTAATACTCTCCTCATTTCTTTCCATTTACAGTAAGTAACATTGACTTTTTTAGCGGTACATTTTTTTAAGAGTACTTTTTTTTTTTTTGTCTTTGATTAGCACCTTTGGAAGTTGACTCCACCCACTGAATAAAGTGCCCCATCCTTTTTAGAGTTTACATTTTGGGTCCAACCCAAACCAAAGAAAGTTAAACCAACCAACCAAACAAAACTTCTCTGTAGTTATTTGCCCATTAAGCTTTGTAAAATATATTCAGCTCTTAGACAAGTCTCACACACATGAAACAAATACATTTACAGTACTTGTCTCTCCAAGCTGACAGTCTCTTTCCTTAGAATTAGCTTAAAGAGCTTACTGTGTAAGATGTTTCTCAGAACGGTTGGTTAAGGGGAGGAAGGAAGAAAAAAAGGAAGAAAAAGACAAAGCTAGTAACAACTCAAACACACCTAAAACTACAGATTTCGAGAGAAACCTAATATTCACCTGGTCTAATGTCTCCATTTACTCAAGAGCGCATGGTATCAGTGCATTTTCCACAACATCTCAACTTCTCAGTTTTGCCTTCTCCTAATTCATCTTACAATTTAAAAATAAGACAGGTCAGGTGCAGTGGTTCACGCCTGTAATCCCAGCACTTTGGGGGCCAGCGTGAGTGGATTGCTTGAACTCAGGAGTTCAAAACCAGCCTGAGCAACATGGTGAAACCTCATCTCTACTAAAAAAAAAAAATACAAAAATTAGCTGTGCGTGGTAGAGTGTGCCTGTAGTCCCAGCTACTTGGGAGGCTGAGATTGGAGGATTGCTTGAGCCAGGCAGGCAGAGGTTGCAGCAAGCCAAGATCATGTCATTGTACTCCAGCCTGGATGAAACAGTGGGACCCTGTCTCAAAAAATAAAATAAAATAAGACATACTTGCTTGGTCAGTATGGATCAAACGACTTACAATTTTACCTCCACTTTGGCCTAAGCAATTGTACTTCTAAAAATATGTGTACAATAAACATACGTGTGCATGTGTCTTTATACCAGCATGATTTATAATCCTTTGGGTATATACCCAGTAATGGGATGGCTGGGTCAAATGGTATTTCTAGTTCTAGATCTTTGAGGAATTGCCACATCGTCTTCCACAATGGTTGAACTAGTTTACAGTCTGTGGCACTATTCACAGCGGCAAAGACTTGGCACCAACCCAAATGTCCATCAATGATAGACTGGATTAAGAAAATGTGGCACATATAAACCATGGGATACTATGCAGCCACAAAAAAGGATGAGTTCGTGTCCTTTGTAGGGACATGGATGAAGCTGGAAACCATCATTCTCAGAAAACTATCGCAAGGACAAAAAAACCAAACACCGCATGTTCTCACTCATAGGTGGGAACTGAACAATGAGAACACTTGGACACAGGAAGGGGAACATCACATACTGGGGCCTGTCATGGGGTGGGGGGAGAGTGGAGGGATAGCATTAGGAGATAGACCTAATGTAAATGACGAGTTAATGGGTGCAGCACACCAACATGGCACATGTACACATATGTAACAAACCTGCACGTTGTGCACATGTACCCTAGAACTTAAAGTATAGTACAAAATATATATATGTGTGTGTGTATACCCATAATTTCCTTATATTAAAAATTTGGCTGCCAGGATCTTCATTCATAGGTATTAAGTAACAACATTCCATTGAAAACAACATGAATGTCAAATTTTAGGGAAATTGGTTAAGTATGCATCCACTAAAAATAATGCAGGAAAACATTTCATGACAGAAAAATGGTCATGATAAAATCTTTGTGGAAAACCACAGGTAACATACTAACATGTACGATCCATTTTTTGAGGGTAAAAGTATTTATATCTATGGAAATCAGACTAATATGTCAACTTTCTTATGCCTGAGCAGTAAAATTACAGGGAATGTGCATTTTCTTTTTGGTTTCTATAATTGCTAAATTTTCTAAAATAAACACATTTTATTTATGCAATGAAAAAAAATTTCAAAAATTATAAATTGATTTCAAAGTCCCTGAAATCTCGAAACCTCATGTGATCCCTATGGGTTGAGAGCAGCTGATGAACATGATGGATGGACACAGCTGGTTCATCTGTAAGGGTCTGACAACTCTTTGAACATTCACTTGATTTGGCAGTTAAGGAGACTGAAGTTCTGAGATGGAAGTGATCAGGCCAAGGTTACAGAGCAAAGGGGCTTTAAAAGAACAGGGCCCAGAGAAAGTTTTCAGGCTTCCAAGTTCTCTGTTATTTCAGTCTCCCACCATCTTGTAAGAGCTACTGAATCTCAAAGCAGAGGTCACTTAGGTAAAGCACACGTGGGCAGTGAAGAGCTGAAGAAACCCACAATGCACACAGGGGAAGGGAGGAGCAGTCAGAGCTAGTTTCCAACACAGATGGAATGTGGCACCTGCTGATTCCCATCCCTGCTCCCACCAGCCTTACCCGTTTCAGAAAGGCTGTTCCCCCTCTTCCCTCCCAACCCACCTCCTGCCGCTTCTTTACCTCTTCCAGGAAGTCTGCCTCGAATAACTTCCCACATTTCATTACTTTACAAAGATGTTTTTCTCTGCTTTTTTTTCCCATCCCCTTTATTATTTTAAAATGTATGAATTACTACTAAATATGTATGAATTACTACATATTAATATTTAAATATTTTTAAGTATCTTTAATTCTCTATGTTTTATCTTCACATACTCATTGCACTCCCCAATTTCAATATGGCATAGCTTATATTAATCTTTCTTTATTGTTCTTATTTATTCTTAATTCCTGTTCCGGGACCTTCCCTGTTTGCTGCCACCACAAGAGGACAAAGGCTGTTTTGCCACTGACATGGGATCTCCTCTTTCATGATGGATCACATTTCCAGTAAACTAGAGGCTTACTATGCCATGGAAAAGGCAGATATATACATTACAAGACAGTGATAACAAGCGGATACTAATAAAACGCACAGACATCCCCCCTCATGCTGCCAAGACTATATACCATTTTCTTTCCATTACATCCATTTTTTTCTCCCCTTTTGTGAGCATTAATCAAAGAAATGCAAAGAGCTCATTAAAGTGATAGATTGACTGAAAATGTAACCACCTTTTCATTATAAACAGTTTCTTTATGTTCTTGGTGCTATGGACTTTGTTTTTTAGCATTTGTCATGTAGTTCAAATGTCCTTTTACATTTAAACACCCAATGCCAAATGGGCCCCAGTTGTTTGGTTTAGTATAAAACGATGGCCAGCGCAGCAGAAACCAGAACTACAAAATCACAAGCAAAGTATAACATCCATCTCTTAAGCACACAGAAAATTAAGTCGCTGTAAGAGATGGGTTTGCCAAGTGATCCAAGGCCTTGCCATGAAATTCAGGAAAGCAGAATCGCATCACCAACGACTTTCAGCCAGCTGTCTCTGAATGGTTCTAGAGACAAGACGCCTGGCCCAAGATAGTGCCAAGGTTCCAAACATTTGATAGTTCTTTGAAAGAAAGATTTTTTTTTTCTTAAGTGTTAAAGTGTTTCCTGTATATATGTTTATGCTGGCAGATGAATATGTAACTGGGATCTTGGATCTTGGGGTCAGGCATTCCCACATACATACACACATAAATCTTCACTAGACGAGGGTTTGGTGCTGGTTTGACTCTGAGCATCTCTCTGTAGAGCATGGTCAATAACTTTTGACCACTACCTGAAATAAGTCATACCATTTGCGGTCTAGAACTTGAACACTGTGGCTAAATTGAATGAGTTTGGGTCCTTCCTCTTTCTGTTTCTAGTTTGTGATTTGGGGCAATTTATTTAAATTTTGTGTCTCAGTTTCCTCATCTGCAAAATGAAAGAGGAAGATGTCATGAAGATTGAATGAGTTAATAATAATAATACAGGGAAAGTGCTTACAACAGCACCTGGCACAGAGCATGTACTTCATCAGTACTAATTATTATTTATCAACAACAGGGTTGTAAGCTGACAGAGAAAACAAAACACATGGGTTTTAGTCCCAGGTCAACTCCTACCTCTCTGTAAGAATGTAGAAGGATTCAACGTCTTATCCAAACTCAGTTCTCCTATCTGTAAAATGAGGTAGTAGCAATGTTCCCAATCCCTTTAGATTACTGTGCATCATACATAATATTGAAATCATGATAATTCTGTGTTTAGCTACTCAATATTCAGGAATGTCTGTAGAGTCATTCATGGGGCTGTTATTTTAAGGAAGTGGAACACAGGAGCCCTCTCTTCCAGGATCCTATCACATTGTCTGTATCAACAAACATATCAACATTTCATACAAGAGATGCACACCAAATACATTAAACCACAACAACCATGTAGCTTGCACATCACAACTCCAGGCACGACATCATATCCTCTCTCAGGAGTAGCCCCTAAGGCATGATTCTCCCTCCAGGAGCCCTGCATCCTTTCCATTTGCTAACAGTCAAATCATTCATTTGCTGCCATGCAATCACAGTCATGGCAATGGCTGTGGCCCTTGGTGTCTTCATCTGTAAAATAAGAATGACTCTAAGGCCCTCTCAGCTTTGAGATTTATGTCTCTTTCATGACCCCAAATTTTAAAAGTGATTTCCAACAAAATAAGCTAGCAAAGGGAATCCAGAGGATCTCCTTTCAGACTCCCTCACAAGCTCTAGTGTAGATCCAGATTTTTTTATTCAGTTTTATACCTTTGCCCAGAGGACGAAACTTTACTTCCCAAACCAAGGAGAAGGATGTACTGTCTCCAAAGTTGCTCTAATGGCTGAGAAGACCATAAATAACCATTTATTAAACAAACACTATGGGTTGAAGGAAGAGAAACCACCACAATTAGGCCCCTGAGGCCTGCAGGCACAGTACATAACAATGGGACTCTCATAATCCAGGTAATATATAACCAGTTACTCCATTTTCTTGAAGTTATCTTCATAATCAAGATGCTATCCCAGCCATTGTGGGCTTTAGAACTATTTTTAATTTTAATTTAAAGAGCAATTAAAGAAAGACAATGGATACACAGGATAATAAAGTAAGTGATTAGCAGCATGCAAAATGACAGAGGTTTAATGATAATATGGTTCTAGTCTCCAAACGGCTTGTCGAGAGAAGGCCCTTTCTACATGTGGTTGTTCAGCTAATGTGTCTCAACCCACAATTACAACATTGCTGACACCATTAACCAGTGAAACAACATCACTTCGCGAAATCCTTGTTGTCTCATTAAAAAGGAAAGGGTCAGGTAATTTACCAACGTTGTATGTCTAGTTTTGTTGTTGGTAATTAGCAAACATTACCCAGCATAGACTCCCACTGGGAACTAGAGGAACTTTGTGAAATATTAAAGAAGAAAGCCTTTATATTTCACCGGAAAATTGAAAAGAGGTGCAGTAATATTCTACCTGTCGTCTTTTTGCATTTAGGAAAAGGAAAACGCAACTTGGAACTCTTTAATTTCAGGAGAAATATTCAAAATGCATTGGGAAGTCACTATCCACATGAAGCCCCTGGATCACCATTGTATACTGGCAAATAGAATCTGTGTCCCTGTTTACAAAAGCAAGTTGGAGACGGGGGGATGGGGAAATTGCAAATTTCATCTTTATTGCTCTTACTTATGTTTTTTGAATTAATCTCCTTGAAATAGAAGAAAGGGGCAATAAAAGTTTTCTTTTTGAAACGCTGCAGGACTTAAATAAGCACCAGAATTGTTTATTCAGAAAAATACACACACACACACACACACAGACACACACATTTAGACCTAAAGATAGAGGAAATATATTCCAGGGATGAGACTTCCTGCCTCCTTGCTTCCTAATGGAATCTTCCCCACACTGGAACTCAGAGCCCACCCCCAACACTGGCCAATGCTTGGTGTGTTGTCAGGGAGTAGAATGGTACCTTATTCTTTTTTTTTTTTTTTTGAGACGGAGTCTGGCTCTGTCACCCAGGCTGGAGTGCAGTGGCGCTATCTCGGCTCACTGCAAGCTCCGCCTCCCGGGTTTACGCCATTCTCCTGCCTCAGCCTCCCGAGTAGCTGGGACTACAGGCGCCCGCCACCTCGCCCGGCTAGTTTTTTGTATTTTTTAGTAGAGACGGGGTTTCACCGTGTTAGCCAGGATGGTCTCGATCTCCTGACCTCGTGATCCGCCCGTCTCGGCCTCCCAAAGTGCTGGGATTACAGGCTTGAGCCACCGCGCCCGGCCAGTACCTTATTCTTTAAATGGAACTTTTGGAACATAAAACACATTCCAATAAATGTGAGCAGAAAATTATGAATTCATTAAACTACTTTGGTATCTTGTGCTATATATAATATTTATATTCCGACTACGGTAAAATATGCTTTAATATCTTTAGGCAACTATAAGGACTTAAATATTTATAAAATGGCTAAAGATAAAGTATGGCCCTCTTATTCCTACATACAGATGATGTAAGGCATGCAATCAAAGACAATAACACTCTCTGCCCATTTGTCATCTTAAAGGAGCCGATCAACGCGCCATCCCTCGTGTGCCATCTACATAAGAGTTGTTGCCGACACAGGCAACTCCAGAGGAGTCTGCGCCTTAAAAACTACCTAGAGTGCTATACTTCATAGAAAACAGGCCTTTCTGAAAATGGAGACAAAACAATAAATTTGCAGGCAAAACAGCTCCAAGAGGGGCTTCAAAATACTGCTGTATTTATCTCTGGGACATGTGGGAACAGGAAGCATTTTGATTTAATATTTCATAACATAGAGACAATTGCTTCCTTGCATGGTATATACTTAATGGTCATAGAAATGAGTTTTTTTTTTTAAAAAAAGTTTCAATATCTTAAATGCAAATAAATAAATAAGGAGACACACCTACATAATAGGAAGGGATTCCTTTGGAAATATGGAATAGACCCATATAATCCCAATAAAGAGAAAGCCACCATGAATTTATAATCACCTAGGGGCCTATTAAAAGTAGTTTTATAGATTAAGTGTGAAACCTCACCCTGATGTTCTTATTATTTACCTTCCTTGCTTGCCTGTAGGCCCATGGCCTGATTGATTTTCAAAATTCTTCCATTTCCTCTGCCGATTAGGTATTCAAAGAATTGTTTGTGCCCACCTGCCTTGACCTCTCAAATGGACACCTCCTGGTTTATTTTCCCAGCTCCACTAGCTCCCTGCTGGGAACCATGTGGAAGTTTGTGAATTTCTCATATATCTTGCATTTGCACAATGTCTGTTATATGCTTTCCAAACCTCCTAGCGATCATGCCTAGGAGAATGATTTATTCTATAAATAAATTTCTAAGATAAATTTCTATGGAAATGTAAGCTTTAGTAAATCAGCTGCCCTTATACAAGGATCAGAGATGGTTTCCTTGAGTAAGTAAGGGGCTAGGCCGGGGTTTCTTGACTTGGGCTGCACATTGGAATCACCGATGCATGCCTGCATCAGTGTCTAATTTAATTGCTCTGGAGTATGGCCTGAGCATTTCAAGAAGGTTAAAAGTTCCCCAGGTGAGTACAACGTGCAGCTAAGGTTGAAAACCAGTGGGCTAGTTCAGAAGTAAATCCACCCCTTTATGGTCAACTAATCTTTGACAAGGGTGTCAAGAACACACAATAGGGAAAGGACAGTCTATTCAATGAATAATGTTCAGAAAACAACATTTACATACAAAAGCGTAAACCTCAACACTTCTCTTACGGCATATACAAAAATCAAATGGATCAAAGACTTGAATGTAAAATCTGAAACCGTAAAACTCCTAGGAGAAAAAATAGGGGAAAAGCTCTTTGACATTGGTCTAAGCAATGATTTCTTGGATATGACACCAAAAGCACAGGCAACAAAAGCAAAAATAAAAAAGTGGGACTACATCAAACTAAAAATCTGCACAGCAAGGGAAACAATCAACAAAGTGAGAAGCCAACCTACCTAATGGGAAAAAATATTTTAAAACCACCTATCCAATAAAGGGTTAATATCCCACCTATATAAAGAATTCATATACTAAATAGCAAGAAAATAAATAACCTGATTAAGAAATGGGCAAAGGAACCTAATAGATATCTTTATAAAGAAGATATACAAATGGCCAACAAGTAGATATGAAAAGGTACTCAATATC